CTGAATTGGGCAAGGGAATGTGGCCTATGAAAAATAAATAAAGTTGAAAGAGATATTTTTATAACTCTTTCTATTTTATGGTCACTGAAAGAGGTTTGATATGGTTCTTGTAAAAAGTAAACCCAAATATTTCCTAAATTATTCTCAAAAGTCTTCAGGGTGCAAAGTCATTTTTTATTTTTTTTTATTTTTCTATGCAAATGCACAGATGATAATTATTTCCAAATATAGTTATTATTTCCAAATATAGTCATTCAAATGATCTGTTAAAAATTCAAGCCATCTGTTTTTTTCCCGTACTGCAATATATATCACAGATAAACAAATATTGCAATGTCAGTTTTCCTATTTATTTTCTAATATTGTGCAACCCTAGTCCGTACTGTCACATTTACATTTAGCACATGCTTTTATAAAAAGGAAGAAAAACGCTGAATGCAAATAATAAAATGTGAATGATTATTTGGTTGCAAGCAGGACAGCAAAATAGAGTATAATGGGAGAGACATATAAAACTTATCCAAAGTGACTTGTGACAGAGCCACAATATGCACAATGCCGCGTTTATTAGAAAGCTAGACTAGGAAACCATTTCAAAGGCTAAAACAATTAAATTAAAAAGCTATTTTGATTTTGAAATCAAACTCAGTATTGCTGTAGCTCGTGCATGTAAGCACTGAGCGAGGTGCACTCACCCTGTTGAAGAGCAGCAGGTGGCGGAGCAGCGGCGTCACGAGCGGGTAATGGCAGGCAGAGGGTGTTGCTGAGCTCTACAAACATCAGGTTTGTCAATCAGCTTTCAGTGGACAATGCAACTGACACTTGTGGACATGATGCACACGGATCATGACACAATAACAGATAAAGGTGACACGCAGCCATGACAGATGCAATGCTAAAGGTGCTAAGAGAGGCTTACGTCCCGCGTGGAGTCCAGACAGCGCAGCGGCCGACACACACACAGCTCTGTGACTGGAGGAGAAACAGGTGTTAGATAGCCCATATTAGATCAGCCTCTGCCACTGCCAACACACACATACACACACACACACACACACACACAC